ATATATATATATGAAGTTCAGGCTTTTTCTAATAAATTTCAGTCTGCATATTTAAGATCTATTTTTTCTTCACATTTCAGCTAACATCGTATTTCAAAATGAACCGTTTTTGTCTTCTCTTCAATGGAAATAAACTAATCTTAGTACATAGAATATATTTTTATAACATTGGTAATAATATTATGATATTCAATAAATAAACCACATATTCCCTCCCTTAGTGAACAGTTATACTTCCCAAAGTATTTCACAAAATCTAATTTTACAATAAAATAAATGTAAATAAAATAAGCTTTAGAAATTCAAAACAGTAAAGTAGAAGGGTTGTATGCATTGTACAGACAACAGTGAGATGGACATTTTAAATAAGAGTCCAGAGCAGCCCAGAGAGGCTCAGTTGTGTGGTCAGTAACTGGAGGAGCCTCTGAGGAGAGGCACGATGTGCTCGGCGGAGAGTCTAAACAAGAGCGCCTAGAGACTTTTTCTTCTCTAGCGTAAATTGTTCCTCTTTCTGTTCTCCTCTCCCTATCTACTTTTTGTAACACATTCGTCTACATGTATACATATATTTTAAATACGGGCTTTCTAGAGTGGAGATAGTATTCTTGTGGGAACCTGGTCAATTCACTTACTCAAAATACTGAAAGACACAATTAATTCTAAGTGACTTGGGATAATTATCTCATCATTCTTCCATGCTGACTTTCATTGTCATTCCAGTACTAGCTGGTGCTTAATAAAATTTGTTGACTATGTTCTTTGTTTTCCATATGTAGAAAATATTTTTTGTACATGGTTTATATCTTTTGTGTATCAGCTGACAAAATACATTTCCAGAAGATAAAAGACAGACTGAAAGCTTAAATATGTTCATTTCAAAAAGTTTTATTATACTCAGATAGTGAGACTATTTCAACACTATTTTTGAGACTACTCTTTTTTAATTTATCAAAAAAGCTTCCTTTAACATGTTCTTTAAGTTCTAAATAATGTTTTAATCTTTATTTATGAAAGTCTTGTGATTCATTTGCACAAATATTCTCTGCATAAGAAACAGAGTACACATTCTGACACTGGGTGCTTTTTCAGTAATTCTATAATCTGATACAGGGAATTAATATCTCTTACTACTTTCTCCCAAAGCTTGTAACTGTAGATAAACAACAAAAACATATTTTCATAAAAAATTTTGAATGCACAAATTCTTTATTCAAAAGCAAATGTTCAAAAGTTAAAAATATCTCCCAGTTTTCAGTGCAGTGAAGATATGAGGGCTATACTAAGGTATAAGGAGGTAGATATTGTAGAACTAAAACACGTTCTTAAGGTTAGATAGAAGTAGTATTTTGGCAAAAGTAGTAAAACACCTAATAGTTTAAATATTAACCGCAATCTTTGAAAGTTATTGCAGAGAGATTTGAAATTTTTATTAAATAATCTAAGAAGCCTGGGGCATCTTAGTAAAAAGTGATTCACAGGAAAGATGATTATCATTTTTCTATAAAACTAAGGCTGATTTTTTCAGGAAATCAGAAACTACACAATAGTAGAAAATATACAAGTTTTATAGCCAAAAGAATGTGAGTATAAATTATGCTATGTCATTCACTAACTATATGAGCTTGGGAAAATGACTTAATCAGTTTTTGTTTTTTTTTTTTCAATGTCAAGAAAGGTCAACTTCATAAAAACTTTGCAAGGAATAAAAATAAGTACATGTAAATCATGAGATGGGCTTATTTTAATACAGGAACTATGAAAGTACAATAAGGAAGACTTTCATAGGAATCACTTTCCTTGCTCCTGTCCTTCAATGATTTAAGCATTCGATTATTTAAATAATAAGTAGACACTGAAAATTTGTAGAGAGGACTGAACAAAATCTGAAACATTTCAGTTGTAGTTGGATAGATTTAAGAATGAGTTATTTTCATTCTGACATGAAAGACTTTGATTTAGACAATGGGAGCACCTAAGTAGTTATAATAAGCCTTCCCTGATCCTTGACTTAGTATTTCTCTCTTTCTTTCTTTCTTTTTTTTTTTTTTGAGACGGAGTCTCGCACTGTCACCCAGGCTGGAGTGCAGTGGCGCGATCTCCACTCACTGCAAGCTCTGCTTCCCGGGTTTAAGCCATTCTCCTTCCTCAGCCTCCCGTGTAGCTGGGACTACAGGCGCCTGCCACCACGCCCGGCTAATTTTTGTATTTTTAGTAGAGACGGGGTTTCACCGTGTTAGCCAGGATAGTCTCCATCTCTTGACCTCGTCATCCACCCGTCTCGGTCTCCCAAAGTGCTGGGATTACAGGCGTGAGCCACCGCGCCTGGCCTTGACTTAGTATTTCTACATGCCACCCACCCCACCCAGCACCCCCTTCCTCTGAATTAATCGTTCCCCTTTGCACTGTTTATAACTTTTACTTTAAGTTGCGGCATGCAACTTAAATTTTTTCTTTCCTACCACATAGTGAGATCGAGTTTAATTTACAGATAAAACTCACCAATTTTAAGTATATAGTTTAATGCTTTGGATAGTTGTATACTACCATGTAAGCACCCCCACAGTTAATAGGCTATTACTCACCTCACCTTCTCCAGTGCCTAGCACAAAGCTTGGTAAAGATGTGTGCACTGATAAATTATTTATCAACTATTATTTGGATAAATTGAAGAGAATTTTATCACGAAAAAAGCATAGAATAATCATTATTTGTTTCTTTATAATACATATACTCATTTGGATAAATTGAAGAGAATTTTATCATGAAAGAAGCATAGAATAATCATTCTGTTTCTTTATAATACATATACTCATAACAAGTTAATTCATTTGCAACTATAAAAGTCTAGAAAATGTATTCTGGTGTTATCAGTCAAAGAATGACTGTTAAAAAGGTAATTCTACAAGCAAGTCAATGCTCAGTGGATGGTACTTACATTAGCCAAATGAGCTAGTTCTATCTCCAGAAACGAATCGGTTGTTTTGGGTTCAGGCCTTATTGTGACCACGATGATTTTGGAATTAACGACGGTATAATTTCTGAAACAGAGTAATTATAATTAAAAGGAGAAATGATTGATGAAAAGTATAAATTGCTACTACTCAATACATTTTGGGATGGTTTCAAATAAATGCATCCAAAGCACAAACATAAATTGTGGTATTATTCATGGAAAGACACATTTTGCTGCTGTAAAGAAACCTTATGTGGAACAGAAAACTTAGGGGAGAAAAGGCCGTTTTACCATTTTAGATGCAGAAAATATGAAAAAGCAACAGCACTAACAAGCTTTTGATTACTTAAATCTGATTCACCTGCAAGAGTTATGGATTGTAAATTCAAATCTTCAGACAATATTTAAATGAATATAATTCATTTATATCAAGGAGGACCTAAGACTTTTGTTCTCTCGGAGATCAAATACTCTTATTGCAATGTGCTGTCTTGGTGTTTCTTTGATTATCCCAAAACATATTACAATAAATAATTGGAATGTGGAGTAACATTAGAGCAAATAGAGTTTAAATAGAAATAAATGCTCTTGCTAATTATTGACCATAATTTATTTCAACAATAGAGATTGATAGGCCACTGCTTGATCTCAATATTCTTAATCTAAGAAACACATTTTCCCTGAAATATCTTACCAAGATATTTCATTTACAGAGAAGTTTAAGTTATTTTAATAAAATCACATCTATAGTTTAAAAGAAATTATCCATCAATATAAACATAAAACTGAACCAACTTTTTCTTGTATATGTAAGTTTTCACACAAAATATGTAAAATACGTAAAATGCTGCAGATCATGTAGTATTTAGAGATTTAAAGATGAGTGTGTGCATATGTGTGAATATATCCCTGTTTGGAATTTTGAAATAATAAACCACTTGCTCTTCCATTGGGCATGTACTATTCTGGGGAATTCACATTAGGTATCAATGACAAAATCATTTAATTTTTTTCCCTCTTTTTTGTTTTTTAAGGTAGTATTTACAGATAAAACTCATCAATTTTAAATATATAGTTTAATTCTTTGGATAATTGTATACTACCATGTAAGCACTAACACAGTTAACATAGACAAACAATCCCTCACCCTAAATAATTTCCTCAAGTCCCTTTTTATTTAATCCTCTACCCTTCCACGCTCCCAGGCAACCATGGACATGCTGTTGTTATAATTCTGCCTTTTCTAAGATTTCACTTTAGTAGAAGCATACAGTATGTAGACTTCTAATTTTAACTTAATTCATTTAGCATAAAGTTTTTGAGATTCATTTATTTTGTTTCTTTCTACAATTGAGTAATATTCTATAGTACAAACACAAATTCTATGGTACAAATACAAAAAAAAATTATTGATGTATTTACCAATTAGGTTAAAACCTTTAGGTTATTTCTGGTTTTTAGCCTTTAGAAATAATAACTAATGATATTTGGCAATTACAAATAATTACCATACATATTTTATGTATGGATATGTATTTTCATATGTCTTAGGTGAATATCTCAGAGTGGAATTCCTTGATCATGCTGTAAAGGCATACTTAGTTTTATGTTACTGCCATATTGTTTTCTAAAGTGGTTATACCATTTAAGTCATATAGTTCTGATTTGGTGGAACCATGCTGAACCTTGCATTTTTTGAGATTTGTTTTTCTCTAATGAGATGGTTTTTGGCACAAGATTTCATCAGAAAAAAAATGCGGAGTTATTCCGTGGTTGGGGGAATTTACTACAATTACTAGCAGAGGAACTATACACCTATTTCACATGGGTTAACATTTTTTAAGTGCATTTCTCATGTATGCAGTAATGTCAAATAACACTTTTTTAAACACTCAGGAAGCTCAGAGAGAAAGCCTAAGAGTAAAGAGTAAAAAACAACAAAGCATAAATCTATTTTGTTTTTGTTAAGAGGAAGATTGTTGCAGACAGAGAGAGCTGGTTAACTGTTCTTTTTTTCATTAAATGCTAAATGAGTCAATTGAAGGTATAGTACATTTTGAAGGACAGAAAACTCAGCTCTAAATGCCGAGCTTCCTTTGCCAAATTATTCTTCCCTGTTTCTCTGTGAGTAAAAGTGATCAGAGAACCAAGTGAGAATAGAGAAAATTGACAAAGTTGAGAGGTGATCCTGGGTGGTTGATCATATTAGCACAGCTGACAGATCTCCCAGAGAATGGTGCATACAGCTTAGAGTCAGGGGAAATACCCACCTGTCATTACCAGAGAAATTATGAACATTTCTCCTAGAGAACAATCAGTCCTCAACAAACAGATGTAAGTTCCTTTTTTGGATTAGCCTGAATGTGTTTAAGTTCTGGTTTAGTTTTGCAAAACAAAAATATTGATACTTCAGTCAAATTCCATTTGTCTCTTTATTCTGATTCCGTTTATAATCCTAGTTACCAGCTTTTAATAAAACCCAATGACTGCTAATTTTAATTATTATTAGATAATTATTATATTAGAACATACGGTATCTCTATTATATTTAAATTCCATAAGTGAATACATTACTAGGAAACACAGATGTGGGTATTCTATAAAGAAGATTGCAATTTTGTTAAGATGTTTATGAAGCTCCCTGTGTGTCTGGGAATGTGGAGACTTTGGCCCTGAATGGCTGGTCTGTAAGGAGTAAAGTAGCTACAATAAGTTGTCTTCTGCAGGGTATATTACACTGTGTTAGGTTCATCAGCTGCTCAACTGGCCTGGTGGAGAAGTTCCCTAGAGGGCAGAATCAACCCTATGGCTTTTGCTGAAAGAGAAGGAGAGACGGAGAGAGAGAGAGAGGAACAAAGAAAGAGAGAGAGAGAGTAAATGTGTGTATGTTTTAATATATTTAGAATATATGTGAGAAGAGATATGTGTCAATGTATTCATGCATATCAGTGTGCTAATATCATTCATGTGAGTCCCTGCCACCTTGTGCCCCAATACAGTAACGTGCACCTATCTCTACCAAAGCTTTCATCGATACTACGCATGTCTTCTTCCACATAATAAGCTCGATGAGAGCAAGAATTTTATCTATCATTTATATGTCCTCATTTGTATTATTCTTTGGAACATTTTAATACTCAAAACATGTTTCAGCGTTTTGTTTAATAAGCAAATACTAAACAAAAATACCAAAATTTTAACAAGTTGATTTAAAATGCCAATATCATGGTATTAAATGCCTAAGAAAGGGGAAATAAATAAGCAAATTTACATTATGCAATGGCTTCCTTTTTAAAAAGTGTATAGTGTACAAAATTGTCTTTAATTTATTCCGTCAATTTATTCTAATTTGCACAAGTGAATAGCTGGCTGCTGATGTGCCATGTCAGGCTTTGTGATCTGCTAATGCTCCCTGGCTGGCTGCACGTTTGAATTCACTGCTAGAAAAGCAGATCTGACAGCCAAATGGATTTCATGACTAAAATAATAAAATTATTTTCTGTCCTTGAGATTTGTGCTAGTTGATATATAAAACAATTTAAAATGTATAGAGTTAATCATTCAGTGGCAACCTAACTTAATCGTCACATTTTTCTGCAGAGTCTTACGATGGTTAAGGCACATGAACCATATCTTAAAGTGAGTATAAAAAGTGATTAAAAATACAATTCAGTTGTCTACAACAGACTCATTTTGTATATAAGGGCATGCATAGACTGAAAGTAAAAGTATGGAAAAAACATCCCATGTAAAAGATAATTAAAAAAGAATGAGGTTGGCGACACTTACATCAAACAAAATAGACTTTAAGTCAAAAACTGTCTCAAGAGACAAAAAAGGACACAATGTAATGATAAAAAGGTTGATTCACTTGGGAGATATAACAATTATAAATATATGTGCACCTAATGTCATAGCACCCAAACATATGAAGCAAACCTTGAAATAATTGAAGAAAGAAATAAATAGTAACAATATAATAGGATATTTTAATACCCCATTTTAATAACTAGACAGATTAACTAGATAGATTACTTAGAAAGAAAATTAATAAGAAAACAGGTGATATGAGTAACATTATAGATGAATTGGACCTAACAGGCACATGCAGAACTCCATACAACACTCCATACAACAACAGCAGAATACACATTCTTCTCAAGGGCAGACAGAAAGCTTTCCAGTATTTACCACATGTTAAGCCACAAAACAAACCTTAACAAATTCAAGAAGAGTGAAATCTCACCAAGTATCTTTTCTGACTACAATGGAACAAAACTAGAACTCAACACCAAGAGAAACACTGAAAAATTCAGAAATATGTAGAAATCAAACAGCACACTCTTAAACAACCAGTGGATCAAAGAAGAAATCACAAGAAATATTAGAAAATATCTTGAGACAAGTGAACATGAAAATACAACATACCACACAACATATGCGAGGCAGCATAAAGGTACTAAGAGGGAAGTTTATAGCAGTAAACACCTACATTAAAAAAAAAAGAAAGATCTCAAATCAAAACCTGACTTTATACTTCAGAGAACTTGAAAAAGAGGCATAAACTAAACCCAAACTTAGTGAAGAAAGATAATAATACAGATTGAGCTGAAATATACAGAATAGAAAATAACAAACCCATGTAAAAATCAACAAAACTAAGAGTTGATTTTTGGAGAAAAAAATATACAAAATTGGCAAACCCTTTTTAAAAAGAGTAAGTAAAAAGAAAGAGAGAAGACTCAAATAACAAAAACCAGATAAAAAGGAGACATCACAACTTCTGGCACTGAAGTAAATAGTATCATAAGAGACAGCTATGAACAATTAATTCTATGCCAACATACAAGATAGGCTAAAAGAAACAGACAAATTCTAAGGAAAATATAACGTATCAAGACTGAATCATGCAGAAATTTTATTTCTGAATAGACTCATAACTAGTAAAGAGATTGGATCAATAATCAAAAACCTCTCAGTAAACAAAAGCCTAGGGGACCAGAAGTCTTCACTAGAGAATTCTATGACACGTTTAAAGAAGAATAAACACAACTCATTCTCAAAGTCTTCCAAAATATTAAAGCG